GACAGACAGACAGACAGACAGACAGACACAGACAGACAGACAGAGAGAAGGAGAGATACAGGGAGGAAGCGAGAGAGATGGAGAGAGAGAAACAGAGAGAGAGAGAGGGGAGGGAAGAGAGAGAGAGAGAGAGAGAGAGAGGGGGGGGGAGAAAGAGAAGATGGGTAAAAATAAAAATAGTTTGAGGCAGTAACTAAGACGAAGCAATTACAGAGACTGATAACATGGCCCCTAGGGAGAACATCAGAGCCGCGCACTATAAAGCCGCGCACTTTTCGACAATATCGATACAATTATATTGCGATTACCAAAACCAACATATATCAACAGGACAGGGGCGATCTTTAAAGTGTTAGGGCAGCATGTTCTTGCTCATTCGGGAGAAAAATTAAAGTTGTGAGACTTGTCCATCTGCGTACATTTGTTTATAAAACATTCTCCATACCTCTTTCTTTGTGGTGCCTTTCTGTATGGTCTGTGTTTCTAGTTTTAGATTAGAAATGGTCAGGAAATAGCATAACGATTCAAGAAAGAAGAAGAAGAATATATTCTTTGGATGAGGGCTGTACAGCGAGTAATTTTTATTAAAGGGACTGTCTGAAACCGCGAAGATCGTACATAACAAGATAGTTCACTCCTCTCTTTGAGCTAATTAAATAAAGTATCCTCAAAATTCGGTGGTGCCCTCTTCGGAAAAGCGCCACCTTTCCGAACAGAGTTACCCTAGACCTACTTGTGGGAAAAACAATAAAAGTGAAACTAACAAACTGTGCTATTCATATTCTTCTTCTGACGAAACGAAAGAGAGCTTCAAAACAAAGACTGCAGCGCCAGCTATACCAATGCCCGAACTTCCACGGACACTTTTTTGGCTAAGTGAATATTTTGTAAGGTACGAACTTTGGTAACCGTTTGGTAAAATTGACAATCTAAATGTATCGATATCGTAAAAAAAATGCGCGACTCTGATAGTGCGCAGCTTTGATCGCTTCCCGGCTCCCAAACGTCCCGACTGGCTCCCAACGACCCCCTAGGCTGAACATTAGGGCTGGAGACAGCAGTTGCACAACCCAGGAATGTTGTTGTGTGTATATCCCCTCGGGTACGTGGACTGTCTTATGGGAGCTCTGCTGACGTTTTATTACTTGACTATACGAACTGGGGACAAAAAAGGGGGTGGGGGTGGTGGTGAATGGACGAGGCCAATTTCCCGTTTCCGTTCTAAAGTAAGGAATTGAAAAAGGTGCAATGGGGACACGATAGAGCAGAAAAAGGGAGAGAGGGAAAGACGGGGGGGGGTTCTCTGCTGTTCGGTGAGGAATAACCCTTCTCGAACTCGAAATGAAAACACCAAGTATCACTCGCGTCAGAAGTGTTGTTTTTTTTAACGGACATGTTTTTTTAAAAAACAGCAACACTATAAGACCACCATGAGTAGCATTATACATTTAGAAGTTTCAGAATAAATTTCCCTTCGTTCCGCTTTGGAAGTTTGTAACAGGAGAAGGTACCCCTTTAATTTCATTCATCCACACTTCGACCACTAACACCAAAACGACAACTACAAACAAAACAAACCAATTTAACCTTACAGAGAAAGGACAAGAAGGCAGTGTCCAAGTCCCCGTTACACCGTGCCTAACAAACACAAAGCCAGAAGTGCTACTAGACCCCCACCCTCCTTTTCCCCTCCTCCCCTCACCTTCCCGAATACCATGGATTACAGAACACGAATCGTGTCCAAGTTTAGACATTCAACACCCCTCTAATGCCCCGTCGGATCAGAAACGGCGTGGGAGACATCCACTCCTTAACATGAGCCTGGCTCTCTCTCTGCCTACTTGGCGCGTGTGTGAGTCCTTTACGGCTCGGTAACTCAATTCTTAAGCGCAGTCTACATTTATACAACTAATCGGGCCTGGAGGATCGTGTCGAATCATGATGTTGCACTTGAGAAAAGCGAAGCTTTTTAATTTAGTAAAATGTTTTAAAGCGCTTGCAACGCAATTACGTCATACAAGTGCGAAGATCAAAGGTGTTGCAAGTGAGTAACAAACACAAAAAAGGAGGAGAGAAAATGACGATAGATGCTTGATAGAAAAGAAGGAGCAAAGCAAAGCAGAGAACCCGCCAGTCAGCCACTGATGAGAAGCACATCGAAATAATAATGGTCATAATATAATGCAAGGAAGTAGCAAGACAAGACAGTGAAAGCAACAGAGGGAAAGAAAAGAAGTAGGTACTATCAGAGGCGCCGTTCAAACACCTGCCATGTTGGACTGCCCGGTGTTATTTAGTTAGTTTGAATCAAGAATGTACAGCCATACGACCACGGCCATATAGTGTAATATAAAGCATGCAATACACACAGAAACAAGACAAAGAAATAGGATCTACCAAGGACGCCTTCGAACCACCATCTGCCCAGTACAAATATATCAAATCGAAAACAGCTTTCAAAGACTTTGGCCTCGACATGATATCACCCCTTAAGAAAACGATAGGGTTAAACAGGAAGATAGAAATAACAGAAGGGAAAGAACAGAAGTAGGACCTACCTACAGACCTCCTCCAACTATCCGCTGCCCAACGCATATTCATGAATCGGAAACAGGGTCGAAAAGATTTTCTGCGTGAGATGGTCAACTGAGATATTCGTTCTTAAAAAAATAAAATTGAACAGACCAGATATGGTCTTTACAAACTGACAAAAACCCTGAAAAAAACGCCCTGAACAGTTGCCGTCTGACGTCATTATTTGAGGAGACTGCGAAAAACATGTAAGATTATTTAAGAGGTAGCACCTCCGAACGTAACGTCCATCTTCGACACGGCCAAGCAAAATGGGACAATCTGTGTAATATTAAGTGCCTTTCCAAAGGACAAAACGCCGTACCGAGCTGAAACTTGAACCCCAAAACCCCCAATATCACGATTACGGATCCAGTACCCTAACCACTGGACTATCGACGCCACTTGTGATCCAGCAAAATCGAGGGGAAGTCGTACAAGTGTACACCGACAATAAGTCAAAATGTCAAAA